CCTATGAAGTCAAGCTGCATATAATGCGCTTGCATATGATGCAGCAGAGGCTGGGATGGGGAACGGCTATAGCCCTGCCCACTCACTCTGCTATTGGCTGAGTTTTATGGGCAGGCTTGTGAGGCAGAGCACAGCTGACAACTGGCCCCCTCCTCCAGCTCTTCTTCTTGCTTCTGTTCCTCAGATTCCACCTCCCGCTTCCATTCTATCCGTTCAGTCCTTTTCAGACTTCCTTCTTCCTCATTCTCAGCCACTTTGAATGAAAGAAAAGAGGATTTAACTAAGGGGCACGTAGAGCACGTCCCCAATGCGTCACAGCCTCAAAGCCCTTTTAAATAAGTGGATTTGGGGCGGAGAAGCAAAAATGCTGAGTAATGCTACAGCCCAAGTCATATCAGTATCAGCAAACACATGTGAGTTTTCCTGTTTCTACTGTTCAGTGGCAGGACCGTGATGAAGACTGGATGTGTGAAGCTGGAGGAAATAAGGAGACTCGTGATTTGTTATTTTGGGGGAGTCGGAAGGAGGGACAGTCAAATGGATGGCAACAAAAAAACATCAGGGGTCAAACATTAGATGCTAAGATGTGTGAACAGCTGGGGAGGATTAAATATTTACAGAAAACAAGAGAGGATCTGTATAACATGTTGATGTTAAAATACACATAATCGCACAATGCAAAGGAAATTAATTCTCATATCCATGTCATCATGTGATTTAATTGTCATTTAAAACGCTCATTACAATGACTGGGGCTCTAAAATGCTTATTTTGTGTTACATTGTTTTAAATATTCTTCACAAACACTTGTGGTTACATGCATTTGTTAATTTTCTGAAAAGTACATTTAAATAAAAAAAATTAAAAAAACTTTAAGCTTTACACATAAATGGTAGGATAAATGGATGTCAAAATAGCTTTATACATTTTTTTACAATTAAATATTTTTAGAAAAAAGTATATATTTTTTTTATAAAATAGTTCAATAAAACAATTAAATAAAACAATTGGTAACCTTTTATATGTGCTGGATATTAAATGCTTATGTACTAAAATAAATAAAACAATTGATACCCTTGCCTTTTATATGCTGGATATTAAAAAAAATATTTAATAAAAAAAAAAAAAAATTTGGTACTTTATGATATACACAGGACATATTAAATGATGATGTGATAATTAAAGATTACCCTTTGTTAGGCTATATGTTGTATATATTAATGCTTTTGTATTAATTTTTGGATATGAAATAGATATGTATTAATAAAAAAAAAATACAACATGTGGTACCCTAATATAAACTGGATATATTAAATGCTGATGTAAATAATAAATTACATAAAAAAAAAAAAAAAAATCAATACTCTTTTTTGTGGTTAACATATTAAATGCTGATGTAAGAAATTATTAAACCTTTACATGTTAATTTTAAATGTGATTTTAGCCATTGTGGAGCTGTTGCAGTTACATGGGGATTATTTTACAGTATCTCAGGGGAATGTCACGGAGGGAATTTGAGGTAATTGCGGGTGAGGTGATGGTAACACAGGCCAGACGAGATTACTGTGGGTCGTGCTCCAAGGCACGCGCCATCCTCCCCCCTCTCAGAAGCGCGTGAATGTGAGAGCGTAACATCCTCTTTCTGAGCAGAGCCAATCAGAGCAGAAAATCACTGAGAAACGTCACAGCATACGTCATATTACAGCACATATCCATTAGTGTACCGAAACATATTATATTGTAGAGCAATATAAATTAAGTTAACGGTTAAATAAAAATGTGATCTCTTTGATATCACACATTGAATGTATTAAATCATAAGTATAGAGACATTTTAATTAACTTGCTACTCCAATATTATGATTTATTATGACAGATAGAAGACACCAAAGTCCTTCGTGACAATAATACTTGGAGTTGCCTTGAAGATAAGTTTTCCTGGAAGAGAGCTGTTCATATTTTACAGGATATGCATCTTACTGTCAAAAAATGTCACTGTATATGGCATACATTCAAATGTCTCCCATTCATTTACAAGGGAACAATGTCCAGCCAGTAAAGTACTTTGCATTTTGGAGCAATGACATCATTTCCTGGCAGATTTACTCATTGTGCTGGGAGTGTTTGTGTGTTTACTTAGTGTCTGTTACAGCGGAAATATGAAATAAAATAAACTATGTCTGACATATTCACAAATGACCTACCCCCTAGGTACAACAATCTTTGACTGCTTAATGTTCATGCATGAATAAGCAGTCATAAAGGCAGATACCATGACAAAGCTCAGATTTTCTCAAGGACAGAGATCTTAACCAATACAGATCAGTAAATGAAGAGTTTCCTAAGTCAGTTCATCTCATTTTCTTTGTTTTAAGGTTTTGCATGGAAAAACCAGTATGAAAATAGAAGATATACATTATTTAAACATAGTATTTTTACTAGAATGTTTAGTTATGACTAACCTTTCAGAATGCATTTCACTTTTTTATAATAATAATAATGATGATTTGTCCTAAAATATGACATTGAAGTAGATGTAAGATAAGATTGACTGCTGAGTTTAGCTAAAAATTATTTAAGAATCATCATAAAGTGTGATTTGCTTTGTTAGACAATCACTTGGAGCTATAATGGTGAAGTAAGATGCATCATTGGGGACATTTTAGTGAAACAAATGTTAATCCTGACATTTAACAGCTGCTTTCTAAAATGCTTTCAGAAGTAGGATAATTATACCATGTCCTTACTTAGCATAAAATGCAGTTGAACAGGAATAAGCTGAATGTTTGTCTTGTTGTAACTGGTCTTTTTTATATACTGAAGCAGAGCATAACACACCCCCTACCAAATTATCTTGATTTACACTAACATAAAATGCATTAGGCCTAAAAGTAATGGTCATTAATCTGTCAGGAATTTGCTTGTGGACATGGATAAATGATTTGTGATTTTACTGTATACATATATATGTCAGGATTGACAAATAAACATTTTGTGTAATGTACAACTCAACACTATGTTAACATTGGGCTTTTGCTGAAATTTACAGGGCCTGGGATAACTAAGGAAACAAACTGTACAAAATACTCTTTAAACCGCTATTTTACCTGCTCAGATGCAGGATGTAGAGAGTTTCAGTCATCTTATCACTTTCCTTGGTTACTTTAAAAGTGTGAGAGAGAATCTCTGTCAGCTGAACTAGTTTGCTCATTGAGATCAAGTTTGATTTAATATGTGCTCTTACATAACACAACAATGCCACCACACTGAGAAGAGTCCAGTTGTAAGGATTGTTTCTGAACTTGTCCTTTTGATATTTTACTTATTGGTGTGGAACAAATTGTAAATTAATGTGGAGGTCAACTGCATATTGCTTGAGAGACAGTATGAAACAGCATGCTTTTTATTTATTTATTAAGATTACTAGTAATGTTAGAGAAACCTCTCTTTCATTTTTATTTTGCTTAACTTAGCATTTGTTAATGTGACTTATAAATTTCACTTAGTTAGCCAACTTAGCTAACCTAAGAAGTGTACTCTTACAAGACTGTAAAGCTTACATGTGAAGATGTGTGCATGCTATGTGCAGGTATAGTGACTTGCTGGTGTGCATGGCAACTAGCTCTAGCGTAGCCTATTGTTCAGCAGAGAAGCTAGCTAGCATTAGCGGGAAGGATTACGATGAGTAAACTTTTCCCTTCCTGCTCCATGAGGATTTGTGAGCAGGAGCTGGCCTGGTTTAACTGCTTTATTAAATCCCCTGGGAGCTTAAATTAACCACAACAAAAGGGAAATGTGCTAATGTTACCCCACATGGATCTATTAAATCACCTTTTGATATGTCAAATGGATTTCAATCCTATACATAGTGATATAAGTTTCCAAAGAAAGTAACTAAAAATTAGATATGTAGTGTTTTTACAACTTTGCTGTTGGCAATAAAACAAAAATTTGTTAAAATTTCATCTACTTAAAGGGATAGTTCACCCAAAAATTTAAATTCTGTCTTTTACTCACCCCTCATGTTCCAAACCCATATGATTTTCTTTCATTGTGAAACACAAAAGAAGAAACTTTGAAGAATATTCACTACCGTTCAAAAGTTTGGGGTCAGTACGATTTTTTATGTTTTTGAAAAATGGTCTCTTATGGTCACGATTTATTTCATCGAAAAATCCACAGTAATACTGTGAAATATTATTACAATTTAAATTCTCTATTTTAATATATTTTAAAATGTAATTTAATCCTGTGATGGCAAAGCTGAATTTTCAGCATCATTACTCCAGTCTTCAGTGTCACATGATCCTTCGGAAATCATTCTTTCTAATATGCTGATTTGTGCTCAAGAAACATTTCTTATTATAATTAATGTTAAAAACAGTTGTGCTGCTTAATAATTTTGTAGAAACTGTGCTACATTTTTTCAGGATTATTTGATAAATAGAAATAGAAATCTTTTACAACATCATAAATGTCACTTTTGATCAATTTAATGCATCCTTTCTAAATAAAAGTATTAATTTCTAAAATCTCATAATTCACAATCTAGAAAAAAATCTTTGAATTTTACTCTAATTCAGCTCTACTAGTCAAATAAAGACGTTGCTTTTGAAAGTACAGTATCAGTTCAGTTCCTAATTTAATTTGGGTGTTTGGTCTCCAAGCTTCTCAGACCGCATCACAGAGCACTAGAGCAACATACGGTCATGACATTCCATCGCACACAGCCACCGCCCACTTCAGTTTGGCCTCTGTGAGTCTTTCACTCTGACTGCCCATGCAAACTGCTCACTGAGTCCGAACAAAAGGACAACAAGAAAAAAAGCCTTCAAAGAGCCAATGTACAGTGAGAGTGAAACCATGCTGAACACAGTGAACGTGAAAGCGATGTTTATTGCACTAATTAATACATTAAAAATAATAATAACAAAAAAGTAACAAATGAACATCTCTGTCAATGTCCCTGAATGCACTTTTTTAAGCAATTTTATATGCAAGCAGCAAAATGAGATTTCATGAGATTCATAATTTGATAAATCTATATAATTACTTATAGAAACCCTGTACTCTTAAAACAACAAAAGCAGCCCTCCGAGGAACCCAGTCCGGGCGTCTAGCGAGGTTCTTGTTTCTCTCCATGATGCTGCCGTGCTACAGCCGTGATCAGGGCCGCCCCTTTCCCACTGCCATCCTCTGATAGGATAAAATCCACCTTACAATTGGGAGCGAGCTCTCTGACAGTGTCCTTTAAGAACGTGGAGAAGCTGTCACGAAAAGCGACATGCCAAGATTAGGATATGAATCAAACACTGATCAAATGCAAGTAAATGTTCTGCTAATTTTTACTTACTGTGGATGTAGCTTGTAAAGGGTGCCGTCCACTCCCACAGTAATCTCCAAATGCTCTAGTCCACGGTTCTCTCGGATTTTGTCTACAACAGCAGCCATTCCCGCTCCACAGAGCTGAGCTGCTCGGCGGGAAACGACTCCGCACACTTCCTTCACAATAATACTGTCATCGCATGTGCTGTTCAAGCCCAGATTCTGCAGAATGGACCTCACTTGCAGTAGCGCCAAACGGTCACTGAGTAAATGGAAGAAGCCAAAGCACGAGTCAAATTAAGTGCATTATATTACATTTATTCACTAACTTCCAGTTAGAAGTTTTTTTGAAATGCCTATATTATTAAAGGTGCTCAGTATTTTCCCCCCACATTAAACAACCTGATGAAGCATACATGAATGAACAAAAATATTTGGGAAGCTGAGCTCAGTCACGTGTGACCAATATATTCGATAGGCCTATATGTCAGAGACGGTTAATGTACCTCTCAATCTGTGAGAGGAACTTGGTCTCAAAGATGCCTTTGGTCTTCAGTCTCTCTGTGATGCGTCCACGAAACAGAAGACCACGTTTGGTGAGATCAATGAGAATCTGCCTTACAATCTCTCCCAAATACATTCCACTGGTCATCTTTTCAAACCTGTAAATAAGAGGATAACACATTAGATTATATTTGGAAAACTTGACACATCTTTTTTATTTTATATAAATACTTCTTGCCACAACAACAATTTAACAAATCCATCAAAAAATACATTCCATGACAAGATTCAATGCCACTTATTTTTGCTGTTCATTACAACAGGTTGCTAACACTGTTCCTATGCTTTGAGAAAATCTTGATCGTATACTGCCTCCATGTGGACAAATGCAGAAAACCTGCATTGCATTTGTCTTTCACAACTTTCAGATAACAATCGAAAAATAATATCACTGTCTAAATCGTCTAAAAACGGTAATCTTTACCTTTGTTTTCCTGCATTGAGTGAGCCTTCGTCCACCTCTCGGTCATATCTGGTCCGGATGTCCTCAATATTATCATTTTCTCCAAATCCACCCCACTCAGTGTTTATACACATCTGCCCTTCATCACCCTCCACAAACTCGATGTTCTTCATCTCCTCCATGTAACACACATTGCTGCCCGTTCCTGCAGAGTTAAGATTCATACGTGTTGACATGCTGAATACTGTGATGCTTCTTTTTGGTTTATAATCGGCAGTGAGGTTGTCAGTTAAAATACAGCTTCACTGAAATACCACAGAAACACCTCGGAAATACATTAATACTTACCAGCAATAAGACCAATCTGACATTTAGGGTCCTCATATGCACATGTCATCATTGTGCCAACTGTGTCATTCACTATAGCAACAATATCAAGGTCAAATTCCTAAAAGAACAAATTAAATCATAACCACGCCAATACAAACATCGGTAGCACAAAATAGTTTAATTCAAAAAAGAGGATTATAAACTACAATATATTTATTTACGCAAAAATATAAGCATTGAAGCCTGAATACTCTTATTATATGACAATAGAACATTAATATTGATGATGGTGCTTCTCTGTAAGTGGATGAGAGTGTCATCTGCAAAAACTATGTGATGTTTGCTTTCCCCTCACATTTCGTCTTTTAATGGCCTCTCTCAGCATATCCACAATATCAGAGCCCTCACAATCTGTCGCTTTGAAGCCTTTCGTCCAGCAGACCAGATCTCCCTAAACAAGTAGATGCAAATGGCAAGGACTATCAATTGAGAGAAGCATTTGTCTGTGCTTTAAGTTTAAAAGGTTAGTTCACCCAAAAAGTATTGAAAGTAGTTTCAAACCCATAAGACTTTTGTTCATCTTCAGAACACAAATGAAGATCTTTTTGATGAAATCTGCCCTTTAAACCTCATGATAATTATATTGACAATTGAAGTGACCTCTGATAATCCAAGGTAGATGCTTTTTTACCTTATCAATACCTGTCTGACTGCATGGGAAAGAGAAGGTGAAGCCAAGAGGCAAACGAGTGTTCTTTATTCCCATATAGTCCAAGAAATCCGAGATACACTGAACTATGTGGTCAAACAACTGGAGGGGGAAAAAAAGAAAAAAAATTGAATCAGCTTAAAATGTCTTGTGAATGTTACTGATACATTTTTGCACTCTATATAGTATTTTGATGTTAAATATGTAATACCAATGTATTCATTTGCACCAAAATGATTATGTTTTTTGTTCATAGTGCTTCACCTCCTCTCCTGTACCCTGCATGATCTCCAGTGGGATGGCATAAATCTTGTTGTACATCCGGACTGAATTCCGCATACCAGTACGAATCTTAACCACCAACACACGGAAATTGGTTCCACCAAGATCCAAGGCAAGGTACTTTCCTCTTTCTGTGAAACAACATTCAGTGGCATAAAAAGTTTCTTAATGAGTCAATTATCATGTTCAGACTTCAAATTTAAATTCAAGTTTCCTATTGAATATACAAATAAAATCTAAATAATAATAAAAAGGTCTCCAACATCCCCTCAAACCAACATAGGACAAGATGTTTGAAGAAGGAATGGATGTTTAATATAATATAAAATAATATAATATGTAAAAGAGATAAAAATATCAATAGTGTTAACAATAAATAATAACTCTGAATTCCCCAAAGATGTACTGTTTACAACATGATTGCTGTAAGTAGGCAGTTTCCCTTTACCTGTCCCATCTGGAGTCCTGTAAACATATGTGGGCAGCATTTTGACTGATGCGGTGGGATGGGAGTCTTTCTTCAAGCCTCGTTCCAACTCCACATGCATCTTCTTCTTCACTTCCTGGAGCTGTGTGGAGTTCAAGGCGAAGGCCGCAAGGGTATCATCAATCTCCTTGCGTTGGGAAGCTACTCGCTGAGCCACTGCAGTCACCATGGCGGCACCTTTTGCACTGCCACTTTCAGACAGCACAAAACGGACATGACAGTCTGACACCAGATGGCGGACCACCTTGTGGAGCCTCTTGGGATACCTTTAAAGATACAGATACAAGTATTAAACATTGTGGATTTAAAAAAAAAAAAAACTTCTTCCATCCAATTTCGTACTTAAAACCTCCTTGGGTTTTACATGTGAAGGTGAACTGACGTACTGCGGATGTGTTCGGTAGACCGTCCCATCCACTCCTACAGTGGTCCGAAGGCTCTTCAGCTTCTTGTTTTCTCTGATCCGTGTCAAGATGGCAGCCAAAGCGGCAGCAACCAGATTAGCTGACCTGAAGGACACGATGGTGCAGACATGCTGGACAGCAATGCAGTCATCATCACTGGGATTAAGTCCCAGGTCTTCCAGGATCTCCCTGGTGTTCTCCAAACCGCCTTTATACCTGGAAACATTCTCAGTTAGAATATGTACATTTAAACCCCATCTACACCCGCCAGATTATCACAAACCACCAAAATCCAGATTAAGCCAGCATTTATGCTGAATCATGGATGTGTTTTTAGCAGGGAAAATTCCTAATATTGTCACTAACTTAATACCAATAGGTTGCCATAGGATTCCTCATAGCTAATTTAACCCATCTAATATTTGTTTATATTTGTGAGCATGTAATCTTACTGTTCAATCAAGCAGATATGGTTGGTCTGAAATGTTCCTTTGGTCCTGAGAGCATCACTGACTTGGCCATGAAACAGTAGACCCTTTTTGGCCATCTTCAGCAGGATGAGTCTCACTAGCTCTCCCATGTACAACCCACTCACCATCTTTTCAAAACTGGTTACAAAGTTGCAGAGTTAGGTAATACATAGACTACAAAACTTAAAGAGAGAAAAAAAATGGTTTTAAGTGCACACATCATTTGGGAATAGCCTTCAGTAAGTGTGGAATAAATCAGAAATGCCCAAACGTTTTACTACGAAGGGTCAAAAACAAAACTTGATTGGCTGAAAGTAAATGTTGCCCTGATTTGGGCATCCCTGTGTTAAAGCAATCTAACGACTTGCCCATCAATAAGGACTTACAGCTGTTTTCCTGGATTAATTGAGGCGGCATCAATTTCACGGTCAAAACTTGTGATGAAATCATCAAGCACACCATCATCTCCAAATGCACCCCATTCCGTATTAATACACATCCTGCCTTCATCTCCTTCCACGAGATCAATGTGACGCATTTCCTCCATGTAACACGCATTAGTACCAGTACCTGCGGAAACAGATTGCAGCAGTAAATCAAGCCTTTAATTTGACTTATTACAAGAGACAGCTTCCTTGCCCTCTCATTTTTGCAGGATTCTTATGAGGGATTCCCTTATGAAGCAATACATATTTTGTGTGTTTATATTTCATTTTAAATCTAATGAAAGAAAATTGTCCAGTCCAAAAGTGTCCAATGAGGTCTTACCTATAATAACCCCCACCTCACAGTTCTGGTCATCATATCCACAGGTCATCATGGCCCCCACTGTGTCATTGACCATAGCCAGGACATCCACGTCAACATCCTACACACACACACACACCGTATATTAAAGAACTCAATTGCAAGTAGAAGTCATGAACACAAATCACCAATACCAGCTGACTACTGTGTTATGACTTCTACCTGGAGTAGCACCAGTTGGTTTCTACTTTCTCATTTTGTTCATTGGAAATGATGAGCAAAGAAAATGGTATTCATACCCCAACTTTACGAATGGCTTTCCGTAATGACTGCACCACATTGGTCCCTTGAACACCTCTCAGCTTGAAATTCTTGGACCATGACAGTAGGACACCCTGTGTCAACAGACAAAATCGGTCAACGAGGAGATCGACTCATATGAATGTCTATTTCACTGGTTTATTGATAAAGAAAATCCACACAATATCTCAATGACCTGAGAACCATGATCCAATTAAAACAGTTAATGTGAAATTTTATATAAACATGTCAGAGTTCAGTTGTACCTCATCTATTTTTGACTGCGCACATGGAAAAGAGAAGGTGAAGCCCAGAGGTTTTCTTTTGTGATTAATGTGGTGTTTCTCTAGAAAATACTTTAAAGATCCTGCCACATGCTCAAAAAGCTGCAAGAAAAGGGAGGCATTCAAAATATTTAATAAAAAGGTTAAATATATTACTTTAGAATAATCTGCCCCCTATCCATGTAATTATCTACAGTGACTTACATCCTAAGATCAGCTGACATTTTAAATACTATAAACAATAAGAGAACTCACACCAAAGTTTATTCAGTCTTTTCTTGTTAACATCATTATCATTTATCATTATCAAAACTGGAAACAACTTATAATCTGCAATGGATTCCTTACTGTTTTAACTCATATTTGTGAAGCAATAATCACCTCTGTTCCTCTGCCATTAAGGATCTCTTCAGGGATGGGAAAAGTTTCACTTTCCATCTGGACTTTCCCCTTCCCATCTTCTGAAACCTTCACCTGTAGTACTTTAAATTTTGAACCCCCCAGATCCAGTGCCAGAAACTCACCCTTCTCTGCAGGAGAAACATATGGGACCGAATAGATGTAAAGCTATAATGAACATTAACAGATTTGAATGATTTAATATTACTCAAATGCAGTGATTCTACAGCTTTTTTTGGTGTGAAAATGGTTACAATAGTAACCATGAAGTGGTCATGTGTCATGTCAATGTACCCGAGCCATCGGGTGTTGAATAAACGTGGGTCGGGAGCATCTTCACTGCAGCCGTAGAGTTACTCTCATTTGACAGTCCTTTCTCCATCTCCAGCCGAAACCGAGATGATATGTCCACCAGCTGTTCATCTGACAGGCGCATGGCATACAGATATCGGTCTACCTGTTGAGAAACACAATTATTTTAAACACTACAAGTTGAGCTCTCTTCTGTTGCCTGCCGTCGTTTCCTTCACGCTTTCTTATTACATACATTTAATGAAACAAAATACTGGGGAATAAGTGACTGAATAAAAGGGTAAACAAAACTGAGAAATAAAAATATTACAAATGACATTAACACATTATTTAACAACTATTTACAACATAAAAATCACCAAGCAAAAAATAATACTAATATTATCAGTGACGCATGCAATTAATTATATGACACAGTGAAAGATAATGTAGGCGTTTTTCTTGAGATAAAAATTATACTGCTGTAAAATAACTATCCGTGAAGAATGTGGACATATATGATCCTTCATCCATATATGAAGGCTTGCGCATGAAATTAGTTTTGCATACAAATTTTAACTGTCTCTATGGTGTTCTTTGTGAAACTAACAGTTTATTTATATGCAGAACCTGTCAAAAAATTTGGATTTTTTTTTTTTTTTAAATGTTTTTTAAAGACGTCTCTTCTGCTCACCAAGGCTGTATTTATTTCATCAATACAGTAAAAACCACAAGATTGCAAAATATTATTACAAATTAAAAGAACTGTTTTCTATTTGAATATATTTTAAAATATAATTTATTCCTGTGCTGGCAAAACTAAATTTTCAGCATCATTACTCCAGTCTTCAGTGTCACATGATCCTTCAGAAATCATTCAAAAATGCCGATTTGGTGCTCAAGAAACATTTCTTGTTATTATTATCAACCTCGAAACCAGTTGTGCTGCTTAATATTTTTTCAGGATTCTTTGATCAATAGAAAGTTAAATGACCAGCATTTATTTGCATTCATTTATTAATTAAAGCATTTATTAAATAGAAATCTCTTGTAACAATACACATTTATTTACTGTCACTTTTGATTTAATGCATCCTTGATGAACAAAAGTATTAATTTCTCTTTTTTAAAATCTTACCAAAAATGTTTGAATGGCATCATTGTTTACACAAAAATATTAAGCAGCACAACTGTTTCCAACATTGATAATAATAAGAAATGTTTCTTTAGCATCAAATCAGCATATTAGAATGATTTCTGAAGGATCTTGTGACACTGAAGACTGGAGTAACGATGCTGAAAATTCAGCTTTGCCATCACAGAAATAAATCACATTTTTAAATTATTTAAAATAAATTATAATAATATTTCACTATATTACGGTTTTTTTCTGTATTTTTGAACAAATAAATGCAGCCTTGGTGAACATAAGAGACTTCTTTCAAAAACAAAAAAAAATTTAATGCTTCCAAACTTTTGACAGGGACTGTATATTTTTATGTATTTATTGGACATTTGAACGGATAAAGGAAAAGCTGCCAAACAAGTAACCACATCCCAGCTAACACAGGGATCGTTCTCAGAACTTTGGCTAATGTTCTGGCAAGGTTCTCTCAAAGTTATTAATAAAGGTTCTTCCAGTAATGCTAATAGAATGTTTGTTCAAAGTATCTGGGCTGCATTTCCCAAAAGTATCATAAGCTGTGATCATACAGACCATTGGGAGCACTGGTTCTATAGTCAACTTAGGCTTATGATGGGGGTGTAGCACTGTGGTAGAGCGCATGCTTTGCATCTGTGAGGTCCTGGGTTCAATCCCCAGCATCTCCAGGCAATGTGGTACCTTCAAATGAACACTTTGGGGCAATTGTGGCCTAATTGTTAAGAGAGTCGGACTTGTAACCCGAAGGGTCTCAGTACCGGCAGGAAAGGTAGGTGGTGTGAGTGAATGAACAGCAGTCTTTTCGACTATTAACCACAACTTGAGCAAGGCATCTAACCCCTAATCGCTCCCCGGGTGCGCAGCAAAAAAATGGCTGCCAACTGCTCCGGGTGTGTGTGTTTGATACTCACTGCTGTGTGTGTGGACTTGGATGAGTGAAATGCAGAGTACAAATTCCTAGAATAGGCCACCATACTCGGCTACACATCACGTTACTTTACGGAAACTTTAATAATGTTCTCAAAACGTTAGCACAAAAACATTATATATACATTGTTAATGGAGCATTCAGAGAACATTCAAAAGTAACGTTCATATGTTTGGTAAAATGGAATGTTCCCTTAACGTTTGTGTTTTAACGCATACCCAAGAAATGTTCAAAAACATTTAAAAATAACTGGTCATTTTGAACATTCAGAAATACCCTTTTTATCATTTAATGGGAACGTTATCAAAAAGTTTTTAGAACATGTTTTGTTAGTTGAAAAGGAACTCCTTCAATACAGCTTAAAACGCATCCCAGGATGTACCTTTGCTCCCTATAATTCCCATCCTTCCATGTGTTATTTTATCACTTTGATAACTTAGTAAAGAGCAAGTAGGTGTGTCCAACCCTTAGCTGGAAATGTATAATAGATGAATAGTAAACTATTGAAAGAATGGGGGATTAAATACAAAACATTAAAAAATATATTTTTTAAAATACCAAAAAAAAGCCAATGACCAATTGGCTACAACAAAATAGTCAGTTTAAATTACAGCTCACAACATGGTGTGAACTTTCATGGAGATGAAAATCAATTCAATAAATGCAGATGAGGAGGTCAAGGTCCTTTCTTTCTCCTCATGCTGTCTGTTATCTGCCCACAAAAGGCATGTGTGAGAAGAGTTAATGATTCCACAGGTCACAGTGAAATCACATTCATCATCAACACTAGGCAGCATCTGACAACACACTGACGGAGTTGGACGCTTACTGTCAGCGCAGAAAATCACAAAACAGAACATCAGACTGAATAAATCTATACTTTATCAAGGCATACAGGGCATTATTTTGTAGAAAATATCATATTCTGATGGAAAGTTTGTCTAAAACACATTAACAAATATAGAGGTTTATAAACAATCACCTTCTTGATCTGATCCTCCTGGAGCTTTGAGAAGTAAAAGGACAGCAAATGGACTGCAAACATCTTGACTTCCTGAAGCAGGTGGTTAACCTCAGAAAAAATGTGATTTATTATTGAAAAACAAAATCCCCCTGAATCCTCAGGTGTGACTCTAGTATGACTGAGAAACTTTTCTTCTGAGCTTGTATTTCACTGATCCAGAGTTGTGTGCTTGCTTTCCCCTCCCCTTTCACGGCTAAATAATTAATAGCTAAGCCTCGTCCGGCCCCTCTGCTCTCCAGTCTCTCCTAGCAATGTGTTTGGATTCACTCCAAACAGCAGGAGCACCTTAAAACAATCATGAGCGAAACAATAGATCAAAAAGAGTCCAATCTGTTCGGCTCGAGTTCAACATGTAAACATCCTTCATAAGAAAGTTAAAGATACAGAGAGAAAAACATGTTAAATGCCTTATCTGCAGTCACCAGGACAGATCTGACAGGATCAATGCGAGGGTATTTCTGCCCAGACGATACCAGGCCTTCTGTTTGTAACTGTAACGTATTAAACATAACCTAAATGTGCTGAAGTTATAGCAACACATTAAAAAATATTACTTTTCTTCCTAAAACCAAAGGAAAATGTTCAAAGATTAAGATGTTGCTCAGGGGTTTAGCTAATGGGGTTACCATAGTAACAGACTGAGATTAACTGGGGCCTTTAGCAAACACTGAGTAAATTGATCTACCTAACATTTTTAACACTTCATTTCTTTGCTGAATCATTCATCCTGAAGAAATGACCCAGCATCACCTGCAAACTCATGCTATCAGCTGTTCCATTTTAGTGGATGGTTACAAAGGTAATGGTAAATTTACCAATTTGTAGACAAAACTGCCCTAATTGTAATTTTCACAAATAGGGCACAAACAGAAGTCCCTTTACTTAAAGGTATAGTTCACCCAAAAATATATATTTTTTCTCACCCTCAAGTTGTTCCAAACCTGGATGAGTTTCTGTCTTCTGCTGAACACAAAAGAGTGTACTTTGAAGAATGTCGGTAACCAGTTTATGGACCCCATTGCCTTCCATAGCATTTTCTTTCCAACTATGGAAGTCAATGGGGCCCTTAGTTGTTTGGTTTTCCATATTCTTCAAAATATCATCTTTAGTGTGGATTTTTAGTTTATTTTTACAACCTTTAACCTAGAATTTCATCAATATGTTATTATTACATTATTATTCTTATTATTAGTGGACTTTATGCTTATTATTAGTGGACTTTATGCTTGTTTAATTGTTATTGAATGTTTATATATAAACGTATTAAAGTTTAATCATATTTCGACCGTTAAAACACACACACACGCTTTTACAGTCTATGATTTAGACATGTCCCACATTATGGTAAAAGTGTTGCAAGACTTAATTAAGAATATCCATTTTCTTTTTAAAAAAAGAACAAAAAATTTGACATCAGTTTAACTTTTCCTTATTTGTAGAAGGAAATTACAGCATAAAGTAAATCTGTAACATATGCACTGATATTTTTAAACTGACCCTTACACCACCCTCACCTGTACAAGGCTGTTGCAGTTAGATGTACGGTGACGAAATCGCTCCATGTTTCAGCTTTAATCATTCATTGGTCAAGTAGTTTTCCTAAAATAACATCAGACTGCATTACCCTGCTAAAAATAGAAAAGGAGTAAATACAAATTATTGGTTTTTCAACGACAGGTTCAATACTCTGACAAGAACTCTAGGTCATGTGCAGCTTTACTTTTTTTTGGTCATGGGAACCTGAATTTCTCTCTTTTTCTGTATTTTTAAAATAACATTGTCAGCAAAGAAACATTTTTCTGTGGTTAGGCAACGGAGAGCTATTAAAAATATCAATATAATTTTATTGTAACATCCAAAAGTGTGTGGGACAGTCCCCTTTTTGACACTTGATTATACATTACTGTGAATTTTTTTTATTATTAGTAAAATAGATGTCAAGCGCTCCATAAATGGAGAGACAACCTTTACATCCAGTTCAGAACATCAGCAATACAGCCATATTGTTCTCTTGATCTTCTAAAAGTACAGAAAAGTCCATGTTACACAGTGTTAGTGTTCACTTTTTCTTTCTTTTCCCTTTATTTGTTGAAACAAAGTCATCTCCATGTTGGCTCTGCTCTCTGACCCATTCTTTTTGCAGCTGCTCTAACTGCTCTTTTGTCAGTAGTCCATCCCGCAACAACCTGTAGCTCAGTGAAGAATCCGACGGCCTGAGCTCTTTTCTTTGATTATGGGCTTTTAGCACTCGTCCCCTCCTCTGTGGCAGTGTGTCTGAATCAGGAAGTCTTATAGAGGCTGTGGTTTCTGCAGAGGCAGATTGATTCTCTGTGGCACGGATAAGCCGCGTGATGTTACGCACGCCAACCTGGATGATTCTGTCCAGTTCCTGTTGGATCTCACGGATGAGGTAAGCATCTGGGAACATGTCCATGAAGCGATAGCTGCAAGAGGGAAGCAGTCCAAGAGGATTCAAATTGTGGATGACATCAGTGGAAAAGGGACACTTTTATTTAATGCTTTCTGATTTAATGCTAGAATTCGAAATAAATATTTCCAGACGTTCAGGTTCATCTTTAGGGAAAAAAAATATACCTGAGCCAAAGGTAAAGATCTAGCACATCATGGACAGCCTCCAGGTGAACCAGGTCCTTGATGTTTTTTGGAGGGGCCAAAGGCCAATTCATATTTCGACACACCCAGTCGAACGTCAGAGGCTCATCTCTGCTGAACTGTCTGGCAAACTATAGAGGACAGATTTTTACAGCATTTATTAGACATTTATATACTATTAATATTTTCAAGTGTTGCTATTGTTAACTAAAACTACAGCTATTAAAAATAATTTACAGTAATTGAAATAAAGCAGAAATAATAATAATATAAATATTAGATGAAAAACGTATTAGATGGCAACTAAATAAGTTAAAGGAGAACTCCGGCGCAAAATGAACCTTTGGTCTAATTACACATTGTTACCTAGTCAACCGTTATCTGAGATTTGTTTTCATGATTATCGAATGTAAATAGTTTTATCTCTAAAAACAGTTTAGCCTATAAAGCTAGTATAACGCTAGTATATTGGGCAAAGTGTAATGACAAATAAAAATCGCTTGTTAATACCACTAACAAGGCTCAAAATAGCCCCACACTAACACGGTAGCATAATGAGGGTCCCTACCTTCAAACCAAAGCATTGAGAACTTTGTCAGTGTCCAGACAGTTTAATAAGAAGATATTTTAAACATACAGTCAACTTCGCGTATACAGACAGGAGCCATCTTTGAAATACAGTCTTTACCAGTCGATCTACGAACACCGATCCAAGTGCGCTGGTGAGATGTGAACGAGCTATAAGTTGTGATAAGGTGAGCGCGAACAGCAGGCTTGGATCGGCGTTCGTAGATCGACTGGTAAAGACTGTATTTCAAAGATGGCTCCTGTCTGTATACGCGAAGTTGACTGTATGTTTAAAATATCTTCTTATTAAACTGTCTAGACACTGACAGGGTATCTGCACACTTTTTAAAGTCAATTTTAAGGCTTTTTAAGACCTTTTTAAGACCTGAAGAAATCAAAATTAATACCTTACATTAGGGGTGCGCAATATTGACAAAAATATGTCTCAATATTTTCAAAGTTTTGTTGATGATAATTAGATGTGTCATGATTCTGCCCTCTTGTCATTTCATTTCTCTAGTCTTGAGGCAGGATCATGACAGACCCATGTTTTGTGTGCAGGCACATGGCCTTGATTTTGGGTTGTGTGCTTGTGTTGTCTCGGTCTCTTTCCCCGCCCCCTTGTTATCCTCATCTTGTCTTCATTGCCTGATCAGTGTCACCTGCTGTCGTTATCTGTTCTCCCTTTATTATCCCCTTGTGTTTGCTGTCTTGTGCTGGTTCATTGTGATTGATTGTGTGTGTATCCACACACGGTAATACTTGTGAGTACCTTGTCTTGAGTTCTGTCTAAACAAAGAAGTTTTCTTGTTATAGTTATTTCGTTCCTATGAAGTTTTATGTTTAAGTCTTAGTCTATTGTTGTTAGTCTTTTGCTTTGCCTGTGCTGTTTTTCCCCCCTCGTGGGGTTTTGTTTTCCCTTTTTGTTATCAATAAACCTTGTGTGTCAGCAAACTGTCTGCAATTGGGTTCGTTCCTGAAAATCCGTGACAGAATGATATTTTACTGATTGTGTTTGTGTACTGGTACCATGGCTGGTTTAGACCTGTTGTTGACAGCTGACTCACGAAGATATTCATATTTTTCATTTTCTATGCAGTGGTCAGTTCACAGCAGTGAAAGAAATTAACATTTTTTATTAAAGGGCAATATTTGCAACCTTAAATTGAGTTCCAAGGGCATTTTCACCCATATATGGACTTTTTTTTTTTTTTTTTTTTACTTAGAGATATGCATCACCTTTTATGTCAAATTCTAACATTCAAATTAAATTATATTAGAATAATAACACAATACCACTGTTACCAGTTAAATTAAATCATTAAATCAAAATTCATCTTTGCAGTGCAGAGGAGACTGGCATCAGAACTGGCATTAATATATTTATACTCCATTTACAATTGCATAAATAAAGCTATGATATATTCAATTCTTTCAATTCTTAATTCAATATTTAAATATGAACTGATTTCTAATTGTAACATTTTAATTACAGGGTACTTTAAATGTGAAACTAAACCCGCCAGTAGGTGGGGGCAAGTCACTGTCTCAGGGAGTCATTCATTCAACCGATTTGTTCAAACGGCTGATTCGTTCAGGAACTGCAAGTGATTGTTCATTGAATCGTTAAAATGATTCGTTCAAAACGCGGATTTCAGTCAAGAAATCATCGCTGTCTTTTGCATTGAGACTCTGCTACGGTTTCATTTTGAAATTCTCGTCAGCGAAATAAAGGGAAAACAAACAATATTGACAATATTGTTTATAAAATGTAACAATGTTAATTTAACTGTTATATAAAATAAATATCATATTTGCTATTGTGCACGGGAAAACAGCCCTCTTGCTGATGTAATATTGTATGATAACAACATATGATATAAAATACAAAAACTTT